TTATGAACAAAAAACTAAATGATTTTCCAAATATCTACTCCATATAAAAGTCCTGACAAATATAAAAACTAACTAAGATCGTTTGATACAAATTGATTTTTTATTTCAAATCTTCCAATTTATATAATCGGTGAAATTATTTTAAAAGCTGTGGAAAGAGCTTTCATAGCTCAGACATCGGTGTCCGCGCACGTGCTAGGGACATGCGCCGTGTAATCTATAATAACACTAGAAGAACCACACCATAAATACCAGAAAATAGATCACAACCACCGCCACGGCTTTATCAACAGAATACGATATTATCAAAGAGTAAAACAATCTTCAAACAGAACATTTTATTTCCTTAATTATTAATTAACACTTCGATCATTCAATATAATAAATAATTAATCTTTACATCGATAAAAAATATAAAACAATTATTATTAGTCTATGTCGGTAACCAAATATTCGTGAAATCCAATTAGAAAATCCACTAGTTTTTTATATATTTCACTCGTGTGTAAGCTATTCCCTCCATTGGGGAGCGCTGAACTTTCGAGCGCCAATAAAAAGCGAGCGGCTGGCCTTGACCGTGGCTGCGTATGCGGCGACGTAGCGCGTTTACATCGCGCATTTAGCGATTATAATGTACACATAGTATGAATTTACGTAAATAATGCAACACAATGATACAACCTACCTCAATATCAAATCTTATTAATATACATGATTATTATAAATCAACATTATCAATGTTTCACAAATATAATAGAAAAATTGTGTAATGTATCACACCAGATTCACCCATGCAAATCCTATTTAGTCGAACAATGCAGTGTGACATAATTTATGTCAAAGCAATGTGGAAACGTGAATCATACGCGAAGAGGAGTATATCTCAATATAATTTAATTGTAGAAAGCAGTAAAAGTAAAACTTCAGCAGTGAAAGGCATTGAGGTGTTAAAAATTAGAAAACAATTTATTTAAGCAATAAACTTGTACATGATAGTGATCATGCAGACAGTCAAAAGACAGAAAACGGGAACAAGGTCAAGAATTATCTCAGAGGAGCTGTGAACGGACAATGGGCTTCCATTGGTGGCAAAGACCGTGGGAGTGATATTTGAGACACTTAGACAAATGTACAATAGCAAACCCAAAGTAACTACCAAATGACAAAGCTATAAAAGCGCTTAATTCAAACGAATAACACCCTTAAAACTATGTCATCTAAGTGGAAATTGGCGAATTCGCAACATATGGCGATAGCAATGATGGAGTAGTTGATGTAAGATACAAAGATACCAAAAACGGTATTCATGTACATGGACCCAACAACTAGAACCGTATAGCTGTGACAAATGTTAGAGGCTGTTCTTTGTATGCGTTAGAAATTATCAATATTAATGGAAGTCGGATGGCAAGTATATTTTAATGTGAACCTTTTAGCGGTAATATAACAAATTCAATCTGTTTTTGTGTCGGTGTATTTGATCGGCCAAGGTAATCTAACTGTTAGTATGATTACTGTAACCTGGTAGATGGTACCTATTAGAGGTTCTATCATCTCGTAACGGTGCCTCTAACACCATCGTACCTTGCAAGATATCACAGACTTAGATCGATCTCTGAATTGATAATAGTTTTCAGAGACTATAAATCTCAACAATAAATTATTGTTTCATGAAAATATTGATGAGTAACCATAACTTAAACCTAACTTTAGAGTGAACGCATTAACTGAAACGTGACACATTCGAATAAACTCAATAATAATTCAATACTATCTGCCATTAATACCTAATAATTACACAGTAACACTGTTATTTCGTCTTTAAGACGCCTTGTAGACGTTGGTTTACTAATCAACTGAAATCAAGAGGTACCTCTAATCGCTTTAACAAGTTGACATTTAACACAACTTAGCCATACGTAAGTTATATTTAAACTCATGACCTTCACTGATAGAGACGAAAAAAAAGTCCTTGAGATATTCTCATCTACATCACGATGTCACAGCGAAAGAACCCTTTACTAGCAATTTTAATGTCATTAAGGACGGTCGTGGGACAAACAAGCTAAATTATCCAACCAATTAAACCTGTCTCAAACCAAAGTTTACAATGTATACAGGTATTCTCACGTGCTTACTGCTCAATCTGCGTTATCTTGTTACAATTTTACGTTATACCAAATGTTAATGACAATGATATTTATTTCTTGACACACTTAGCAATTTTAAAAATTTCATTGTGATTTTAGCCTCATACCAAACATAGTGTGATCTTTATACAAAAGAATAGTCATTTATAGCTATGATATAATGGTTTAACATTGTAATAATTTAAAGAAACAAAAAAGTATATAAAATTTTGAAAGATCACATATAAATAAGTGAGCAAGAAGTAAACACAGTAACGTGAACACATTTTTATTTGTTTAATTCACTTTTGATTCGTTATGTAATACAAACATGTTAATTGTAATCAAAACAATTCTAAAAAAAACTTGAATCAAAATAAAAAATTATATTAAGCTGTACCATTTGTTTTTACAGGATGCAATTAAAACAAGGAAGTAAGGCTGTCGGATGTTACCTCACATGTTGATATAATGACCATACAATGTCAAAGTTAATCAAATAATTAGCAAAACAATAGAATTAGAACATTACAGTAATGAGAAACAAGACATGCGAGGAGATTATTAGATATGAAATAAAATTGGAAAAAAAAACAACTAATGAATCTAAATAACGAACATTTATCTGTGATGCACAACTTCAACATGTCATTTAGCTAATGGCGTTTGAGTTAAATATTGTATTGAATCATTTAATAAGGCTTCTATGTCAGATTTAATGCACAAACCAGTTGGGAATGGGTCGCCGCAATCGGCGAGTATCATTTAATATAGCAACGATAATTTAACTAAAACCGCTTTTTAAATAATAACGGAGTGTCCATATCATTTATCAATATCGAAAGTTTGTTCGAATGAATTCATATCGAGATAAATATTACAGAGTAATATAAAAACTATAATATTTTACAAGCGATCAGCTTTACGATAGTTATTGAGATATAACATTCCATTCGTACATAGATATCGAATGAATAAAACAAATAATTTATCAATTGAACAAATCAGTCATCCAGGCAATGGTTTTTTATGTTACTGTGTCGCTGATACTTTCTCAAAACTTGTACCTCATACAGAAAACAATATTCATGACTAACACGGTGTCAGTCAATGAGAGTAAATAAACGATGTTTTCATGTCCGTTCAAACATTGGCCCAATAGTTCATAATCCGATATATTTGGTTATAATCGATTTACTTTCAAACGATCGCTATCAATACATGTAGCTTAATTCGTGTTCTCTGGTTCCCTTGCCGTCTTCAGCTTGAAACATCACCATTACGTATATTTTCTTCCACGTAGCGCTGACTGCGTTATGTTCTCTCATGTTCGACTGGATTACATTTCATTCACCGCAACCCATGTGATTGAACTTTGATTGTACGTATCCTTGGGAACCGGCTGCACATTTAAATGCAGATTCCTCTTGAACGTCCATAATAGATATTATCTTACGGGTGGTGGATTTACTTGTTCTATTTTACTTAGATTGTATTCATAAATACATAAAATCGACCGTATGTTAATAAATCTTGAGTTACCAGCAATATATTTTATAGCAACTGATTATATTAGAAAAGATTTTACTTTAAACCAATAATCATATTGAGCTATAATTTGGGCGAAAACAAGATTGCGGTTAGCGTTATTTCGTTATGTGGTTGAGATGATAAGATGGATAGCAACATGATTATCAATTGTTATATAAGTACAATATCGAAGATTTATAATACTTTAATAAACAAAATTAAAGGTAAAGGCTTCATACAAGCTGTGGAGACAATATAAAAACGTCCACGTGTTTGGTCTATAAATAAGCGAGACGAAGCGACGGAGCGTGTTTCCCACAGCTCGATGTTTTGCCATCACCACAGACTGACGGACATCGTCACTGAACTGATAATGCAAGGGAAAAACCGTGTCCTCTCAAATAAGATACAAGACCTTTCTCTGACAACAAATCAGATAAACGAGAATTGCATACCAGATTTCATCTACTTAGACAAATAAGGTTTCCATAAATAGACCTTCCTTTTATTGACCTAAAATATAAATTCGCGCTCCAAAGTTAATATATTATTTTCAAGATGGCGTTTCTTATTAGCAATCAATCAACCAAATAATAAAATTCTGTCATTTCTAACGCAATTTGTTATTAAATCTAGCCTTATAAAGACTTTGATTTAAATCAATGCAGACCTAAATGGTCCACAGTAAATCGCAACTGAAACATTAAATCGCTACGCATCGTAAATCTCGAGCCTCACGAAGAAGGTCGGAGCAACGGCTGTGTGGTCAAATCGTAAATTTTGATTAAGAGCCTGCGGGAGCGAATGCCGCTGGTTAAACTCACCGGATGAAAGATCTTACGGGTATCTAGTTAGAGAACGCACAAACTGCTCACTTATTACGTTCCGCTTACAGATAAGTATTAACTATGAACATAAAATATTATATCAGTTGTAGTATTCATACTTGCATCTTGCTTATTAACCGGAGTGACTTGACTACCGTCCTTTAATATAAATATACTCATTACTAGCAACAAGACATAATATCTGGTGCATCATTGCAACATAATCTAATCACAAAAAATTAAATACATCCATTTTATTCTGTTATCGATTGATAACAATTAGGATGGTTCATTATCATTACATAAATAAGACTTATTTTAAGCCCTAATACACCGTTATTCTTTATAAGTATAAATCAAAACCAAGTACATCTCGACCAACTTCCACACTCACGACTGTCGGTAACATAATTCGATGCCATTCAAGTACCTACATGAAAAGCGCCGAAGTTTTTTTTTTGCGGTCCATGCTCGTAAACATCATGTCAAGACATCAAAGTAATGTTGAACTCACCTCGTGTTCTGATTTCACTTTTTCTCTGCTGCTGTCATCTGTAACAGAATATCAATATTTTAATATTACTTCGACACTATTATATCTATAAAAAAATAGATTTTTTGTAAAACAAAAGGAAATCACGTGTTTATAAGTAAGTAATTGCTGATTGTTTTGGTCACAATTTTCTCGTTTGGTTACTGTAATGTACGCTCGCTAGTATACAACAATTCAGAGTTGTCGAGGTCAACGTACTTTACGATGATTATTTCATTGTAGTAAGTCGTTAAATATAATTAGAGTAAAAGTGCTCGACGATTGATTCATCCGCGAAATGTAAGATAATATAGGAATCTTAGTAATTCCTCAGTTTGTATATACAGCAGGTATTTTATGTATAAAACATGATATAAATAATATAAAAAAAATAAAATAACTCATAGGTAATACTTTAAGACTTCAAAATATTAATTGATGCTTAAATCTATGTAATTTTATGTAGATTCAACGCATAAAATATATAATATTCATGATTTTTTTTCATAATCTTGTAAAATTCATCAGTAAAAAATGTTAACCTCATTTTTTTACATCCTTTTTTAGAACAAAGCTAAGTTAAACGCTTCAAAATGCAAATAACAGGATTTATTTAAGTGTCACTATTTGCACGGTACATTCACCCTCCAACGAGTGACACAACCATACCGCAGAACATTGCACATATACAATACACATATTATTTAACTTATAAAAGAATTGTTTTAAATTGAACAACAATGAAATATTCTAGTCTCATACAACTACTACACCGTTGTATTATCAATGGAGATGTGTAATTATTAAACCCGAAAATTCACAAAACCGTTTCACTTCGTAATTAGAAAATATAAAATAGCTGTTAAAAGCGAATAATATTAAAAATACATAAGCAACGATGTTTAAAAAGTTCAACGCACTTTATGCTATACTGATCTCATTTCTAGATGAGTAAAAAAAAATGTAATGTATGTTATAAAAGTGAGAATTTTTATACCAGCATAATATCTACATGTCGGTTTTTACGCATTCTGTTCATTTTAACACGACAAAAACTGTTTTCAAGTGACAGCTAACTATGAGATCCTCAAGAGATCCTTCTGGTACTCAGAAGACCAAGCTACTAGTGTGTAGACACGAGCTACTCACATTATAACGCACTAAGATAAGTGTTGTGTTTTCTGTTTCTTGAAATTCAAAATGCCCTTAAAAATATGCACGCAAACATTATTCATAACTAATTTTTGCCCGCGACTTCGTCTGCGTTAGTTTCAGAATTAGAAATGTATAGCTGACAGGGCGAACTCTATTTCTCCTTAAAGACAGTAGATAAGAAGATTTTGGATTTGATCAAATTATTATTTTTTCTTTTTCTTGATGAAAAGTATCGTATGACCTTTCCCTTGTTCTAAGCTATCTCTCCACCAATTTTCAGCCAAACCCGTACATCCGTTCTTAAGTTATAAATAGTGTAAGCAACTTTCTTTTATATTTATAGATAACAAAAGAACATTCTTACAAATAATATTTATACATATATATTTCATAATAATGACTCATATATATAAAAAATCGTAACACTCAATTAAACAGAGCTCGTAATGAACAATCATCTTAATTCTTAATACATTTTTTCACGCGTACATTTCTTTTTTTATCAACAATGGGGTGTGTGGTTGCGTTTAGCGTGTGATTTAATGATCGCAACTAGTTTTTATGGGAGCTTGCATCCCGCGGAGATTACAACATCGAGTTATGACTTGTAATTATAGAGCGAACTGAACTAAGGGAATGATGCTGTACATCAGACATACATATTAAAAATATATTTATTAGGCACTAGTTACTGCCGGGAATGTGGGCTAGAAACGATGTATTTCATGGGCTGAAAATACTTCATCTCCAAGCTAAAACTATTAACAATATAAATTTAAGCATTACTATTTGACGATTAGTGAATGAAAAATATTTCAAACTTTTGCATTCGTAGTAATTACATTTACTACGTAAACATTTTTTTAAGCAAATAATTGTATATATCACAATAGAATTTATTATTATAATTATCTTCAAACATTTACGTATACATCCAACAAACAGGTTATATAGTAACTGTAACAGTTATTACAAATATATGAAATATGTATATACAATTTGATATAAAACTTTGATATAAAATGCATACATAGAGATATTATCAAAGTTTTAATTATAAAGCAATACCAATTAATAAGATGCTGCCTCGCGTCTAGTGCACTCTTATCTCAATATAATTTAAACAACCCAATACACAACTTTACCTTGACGATGCCTTATCATATTCTTTTATATATTGAAGCCGTCTCATTTGCGAGCATCACAAAATACTAGGTTAGGTTAGTGCTTAAATAAACGAAAAGCAAATATTATTCAAAGATAACGAACGCTCCTCTGCTAACAGCTGGTAATGTTTTATACGACATCAAATATATTTCGTAATTTACGTTGAAACTATTGTAATATTAGTTGCGTACATATATTTACGAAATAAAATTTATAATATTTATGATTTAAATATAACTTTAATTCGTATTTCACACGTATCCTATACAAAAAAATATCAATAGAGAAATACGAAAATGTCATTGTTTATAGTATACGTTCGGCTCGGGATCGTTGTTATTGTATTCGTTTTCGGCTAGACGGTGTTTGGTTGTTTGACAAAACAAACCGATGTTGAACAGTACATTGTTACAAACACCGATCGTGTTGCACCAAACTCACGTGATACATTCAGAAGGAAAAATATAACGGCATTGGGTGATATGATAAAAAATTTCAGGTCGATTAAACATTACGAATAAATACGTCTGTTAGCGTTCTGTGTCACAGTGACCGCGGCTTCTAGCGTGAATCTTGTTTCACCACGCGACCCCGTTTTGGGACCGATTCTGATAAGATAGTGTTAAATGCTTGTTTACTTTGAGGGCATTTAAATTTGTGGCGACCTTCATACTATTTTATTGATCAGGATTTATATACGCTTTAATGGGACGGTATAAAATATTGACCACCTTGCTTTGGCACGTTAATTTTTGGTATAAATAAATATAACATTAGTTCTTACTATGTGATATTTACTAAAATTCTTTACTGTACTTTTATTCCCCGGAGGCTGGGTGAACGACGGTTGGACAGAAAAGGTTTAATCCCTGAATAAGATGCCGAAAATACTCTTTTATATATAAAACGACCTTCAGCGATAACTAGTACAGAGACCCAACCACTGTGACGTCATAAAACCCGAATCGCGTTATCACCAGACGATATCGAAAATTATCAATTAATTCAAAGATTGGTATTTTGCAATATCACCACAGTTTTCGTCACTACACTAAACTCTTATATTCTAGGTTTAAAGGGACCTTTTTTATGTTGTAATTTTTATTATCTTTAAATATATTAATATTAAAATATATATTATATATCAAGGACAAACGAGTTTACAAAATATTTAACACATGCTCTATATTATACCTCCATTGCTTTCTTTTTCCTTTGTTTCTTTTATGGAATATCGCTATACTTTCAGTGGCAGAAGCCTCGAAAGTTAATTCTAATGTGACAGGCGATTGTATATAGGCCGCTCGGGGCTCAATGCTTTCACGAAAGCTGTCCGGCGCTAAAATTGCGCTTTTCATTTCCCCTCTTTGAAGATATATATTTAGTGAGTTTAAATATAGGTTAGACTGGCACGAAGAATATTTGAAATATATAGAAACCAGAGAAAATGATAATTACAAACCTATTACATTTTAAACAAACATAACAATTAAATATCTGGTTCTGAGATAAAAATTAAAAACGTTTATGTCGAAGGATACCTACAAATGGTCTCTAATTATAGTTGAATCGCTGTTTAATTGTTTGTACACATCTTAGTGGCCCGACAATAACTTATGATTCCGCAACATGTTGAATTGTAATATAGCATGCAATTTATCCGTTTCGTCCATTAAGTTAACGAGAGCTTGGGATAAGTCACGAAAAACTGACGCCCGGAGCGATCGTGTGCGATGTTGACCAACTGAGGCGTTCTAACATTATTCAATTGCGAAAAATTACCCCTTAATATTTCCTATTTAGATTTCTATTGTGCATAGCGAAAGTGACACGATTCGCATTGAAGAAATGACGGTGCTCTATTGATGCAACAATATAATGTTTTTATGAATTTAGCAATTTCGTATCGAAACAAATTATTTACTAAATAGAATTAAAATTTCATAATACATAATACATATATTATAATTATTTAACAATGCCATCGTCAATTCCATAATCAAGGGACACAAGATAATATTGTTTTTTATTTTTTATTTCCATGGATTCACCGTGCGGGTGCCGGGTCCATCGTTGCAGGGGGAGAAGCTTCAACAGTGCCTAGGACTTGCGACCCAGGTGTACGTTTGAGAGGCCCCTATCTAACACGCGTTAATCGCTCACCTCTACTATCCAAGTTCCTCTCTATCTAACCAAATTTTGAAAGAACCTACTAGGACTGCCTTCGAAAAACGTTCTAAGAATAAATTGATATTAGTTCTGGATAGGCCCAAATCTTTAAGTAGGTTGTAGAGATTCAGCCGATACCTTTCACTTATACTACCATAGTGTACAAATTTACGACGAATCTACTCTTAATGATTTTGTTTGTAATCTCATAATACTTATTGACCTTGCAGTGTGGTCTTTGGAGATGTTGGTTTCCTAAGAAACCGTAAGCTTAACACAGCGCGCCTTAAAAATAATTAGGAGGAAAAAGCGGAGACATATAAGAAATATTAAATTTTCAATAATATCTATACTAAGAAACTAAAAAAGATTATGGTCGCCTATTATCATCTTCATAGTTTAGTTGAATTATCTAAAAATTATCAAACATTTATCCGATAATATAATGGACATTGCTTGTATAAAATAATAAGTATTTTAAAAACAATAGATCTATTAAATCCTCATGTAGTAGAATTACTTCAAACAA